TTGCCTTTTCCACAACAAGTACAGGAGAGTACTGTACATAATATCAAAAAACCTTTATTTAAGATGCATGGGTTGTATTTTCACAAGCAGTTATGCAAACCACCTTGTTACCTGCTGTAGTTATAAAGCAGATATTCTTCATTGCACAACACACTACCTTACACAATGTATTATTTCCCTGAGGACAATGAATCATAAACAGACATTAGTGATGACATAAAACCATTTGCTTTCCACAGCCCATAATCTTAGTTCTTTACTAGCTAGCCACAAACTCAAACCTAACGAGCGATTTTAGTGCCATGTTTATTATTTGTCTAATAGGGTCACCATGTTTTCCTTAATTCCTATAAAGTAGCAGCAATACTGGTGCTGGCTCAGTGGCCTACACCTGGCTGATGGAGCAGAATACAGCTGATGACACCCCCCCCCCTCCGGGGGCCTCGGATATTTTCCTCGTAGTTATCCTGAATTGGGATTGGGGAGAAAAAAAAAAAAAAAAAAAAAAAAGCCAGTAGCTGTTGCTCTACCAACTTGTGAGCTTGGCCCATGAACCAACAGAGATGGGAGTTGTCTTCTACAAGATGGCTAAAGATACCGGATCTGTGACTGTTACCACAGTTGCTCATACTCTCTGGTAAATGGATGGAGGATTTAAGTACTGAAAATTTTAGTACTGGTCCTTGTTTTTGGTGGCCACTTAACTAAATTAGCAGCCATTAGTACTGGTGAGTAATAATTAGCATTTCTCTGTTAATGCAGTTCTGCAGTTTAGAGCCATTCCCTATTTTACAGCCAACACAGGAAGGCTGTGAAAGTCATTCTATGCCTTTAACCCCATTGTGAACCATTTATGCAGAACAGCTTATCATGGACTTGATGGGCCATCGGTCTGATCCAACATTGGCTTCCCTTATGTTCTTATGTTCTTAACTTATGTAAAGCTGAAGTTTGGCACAATATCATATGTAATGCTTATTGCTGAGAATTAAACCAATACTTTCAGTGAAGTAATAAAAAGACAGGACATGCTGTGGATGGCACTTTAGAGTCAAAGAAGACTGGTCCCTACTGCAAGGAACCTCATGATTTAAAAAAATCTGATGCAAGAGAGACAACAAAGAGAGGAGAGGAAGGAGGAGGTCAGGATAAATATGGGAGGAATATGTGTTCATATCCTCAACACTTCCTTAACTTCAGAAGAGTGTGTGTGCATCATGAAAAAGATGGGTTGAAGGTAGGGCTGCCAAGTACTTACCGAGAATTGGTGGGGGACACATAGTTCTTGGCAGGAACATTCCCGTGCAGAAAACACCTGTGCCGCACTATGCTGTCGCACAGATGTGATGCCAGCACGCTGGGCATGTAGCCGGGCAATGCTCTGGCAATGGGGCTGAAAACTCGATGGTACCATGTAGCCGGGCGACGCTCGATGAAAACTCAATGGGCACGTAGCCGGGTGACGCTCTGGCAATGGGGCTGAAAACTCGATGGTACCATCGCGTTTTCAGCCCTATTGCCAAAGCGTCACCCAGCTACGTGCCCAGCATGTTGGCGTCATGTCTGGGCGATAGCATAGTGGGGCACGGGTGCATTACACGCAGGAATGTTCTGGCCAGAAACCATGTGTCCCCTGCCAATTCGCGGTAAGTAGTTGGCAACCATAGTTGAAGGTGCCATCATTAAAGGGGGTCTGGGAGGCCATTCCTGTCATAAGAAGCAGCAAGGATGTCTCAGGAAGCAAAAGACCTTCAAATGGTTGAGTGAAGCTGGAGAAGGTCATAGGCAGGGTACATTAGGGTATGAGAAGTAGGAGATAGGTGGTATAAACCCATAGAAGAGTTCTCAAACAATAGAATGTATCGCGGCATTTGGGGACTGGGAGCAGAGATTTCCATGGGCTATCTTGACAAAGTTTCCCATGATATCCTTGAGGAAAAGCTGGTTAAGTGTGGGCTGGATGGTGCAACTGTTGGATGGATTCATGGTTGGTTGTAAAATCGTACCCAACAAGTGCTCATAAATGGCTCTGCGTCCACGTGGAGGGGAGTCTCGAGTGGAGTGCCACAGGGCTCGGTCCTAGGCCCGGTGTTGTTCAATGTTTTTTATAAATAACCAGGAGGAAGACATAGAGGGGATGATTATCAGATTTGCAGATGACACGAAGCTGGGTGGGATTGCTAATTCTGAAGAAGACAGAGTCAGGATTTAAAATGATCTAGATAAGCTGGAACAGTGGACTGAGACAAATAAAATGAATTTCAATAGAGAGAAGTGCAAAGTCCTACACTTAGGTACAAAAAATCAAAGGCGCAGATATAGAATGGGAGGGACTTGGCTTGACAGCAGCACATGTGAAAGGGATCTGGGTGTTCTGGTTGATCACAAGCTAAACATGAGCCTGCAGTGCGATGTGGCTGTGAAGAAAGCTAATGCAATCTTAGGATGCATTAGCAGAAGCATTGTGTCCAGAACATGGGAGGTGATAGGTCCACTCTATTCTGCTATGGTCAGGCCCAGTTTTGGGCACCGCATTTTAGGAAGGATGTTGACAAGCTCGAGCGTGTTCAGAAGTGGTGAGAGGGTTGGAATCCAAGTCTTATGAGGAAAGGCTGAAAGAGTTGGGTATGTTTAGCCTGGGAAAGAGAAGGCTTAGAGGGGACACGATTGCAGTTTTCAAGTATTTGAAGGGCTGTCATGTAGAAGATGGAGCAGATCTATTCTCTCTTGCTCCGGATTGCAAGACTAGATCTAATGGGTGGAAATTACAAGGGAGTCGTTACTGGCTAAATATCAGGAAAATCTTCCTAACTGTAAGAGTGGTTGAGCAGTGGAACAGTCTGCCTCGGGAGGTGGTAGATGCTCCTTCACTGGACGTTTTCAAGCGGAGGCTGGACGACCATCTTTCAGGTATGTGGTAGGGCTATCTTTTGGCTATGCTCCTGCAGAGTGCAGGGAGTTGGACTCGATGACCTGCAAGGTCCCTTCCAACTCTAACGTTCTATGATTCTATCAGTAACATGTCTATGATTACACAGTACAAGCTACATTTGCTGAGTATTAGACAACTAAGTATTAGCATGTATTAGTGTTTGTAGTCCAATATGCCATCTCCAGCAATGACTCATTTTGGAGGTTTCCAAGCTATGCATAAAGACAAACTAGTTGTAGGGCAAATGTTGTTAACACTTTCCATGTTAGGGAATTTACTTATGACTGGGAGCACCATACTTTAAAGCCATTTTATTGCATTTTTCTAAAAATTCAGTTCTACAGAGTTACAGAAGTGTTCAGTCTCTCTCTTGTTCTGTCTGTGTAGGTAATGATAGTTATAGATTTCACAAAATGTAGTAAAATTCAGAAAATGTGGGGTTATCTGGTGCTATAGTAGCACTTGACAGACTAACTACATCTTTTTCTTTTTGCCTGTAGCTAGAAAGACAACAATCAAGCCCAGAACCAGCAGTGTGCAGTTACAAACACAACTACAGGCTCATACATTTCACAAATTGCAATATATATTTTGAAACATCCCATAAATCCAGCTTATCCACCGCCCACCAATATCACTTAAATGCCACCCTTCAGCTGACTGCATTGTTTTCCCAGTCAGAAATTACTTGAACAGAGAGGCAAAGGCAGAGGGGCTCTAAAGAGGTGAAGACATGGAAATAAAAAGACAAATTATATTGGCTGGAGCCCAATTGGCAGAAGCCAAATAATGGTACAGTGTGATGTGCCATAAAATATTTTACTGTTACTCAGTTTGTGCTCTCTTCCCAGTGTTGTAACAATAAAAATTTACAACACTACACATCAGTTTATCTGGATAGTCTGGAAAGCTACCAGGCAGGAGAAATCTTCAGGTTCTATGTGTGGAAACAATATATCCCACAATATATATCCAAAGCAATATATCCCAAACCACAGCCCAGTGTTTAGTTCCAAAGTACTGATTTATTTCATTATTAGAACTTGGGACATAATTGTTTCATTGGTTAGGTTTTCATGACCAGGAGACATGTGGTAAAGACCATATTCCCGTGGTTACAGGCCCCAGACAGGAAACATTGGCTTTCTCAGAATCCACACACAATGGATTCTATTCCAAGTAAATTATCTGTGTATTCCAGTGCCATTCAAGACTATAAGAATACACCATGCTGTGTACAAATGCCAGTTTATGTGGCGGCTAACTTGCAGCCCTATCAAGGGTAAGATATGACAAAATCGGGGATGTGGGGGAAAATACAACTTATGTCTAATTAAGGCAGTTTCTAATGACTCGAAAATTTGGTGGTGATGAAAATTAAAAATGAGGTTTCTATTGACTGCAGGATCAATGACCCCTTTCTATTAGTCTATTTGAACTTCAACCAGTTTAAGGACACTTCATATTTGTCAATACATTGGCTTTTCTAAGCAAATTCTGTAGAAAACTATGTTGTAGAGAAATCTGAGCTCCCATAGGATCACTGCCCACGTCAGTAATGATACTGTTTACAATGGTTTGGGGTATGAATGATAGCCTGCATTTTCAGTAGCTAACCTTACACGTTGAAAGGAAGCAAACTTTTTACACCCAAGAGAAGTTCATTGATGCTTCTCCTCCCCAGTATGCAAACCGTTATTTGCTTGTTTAAATAAAAAAGTGTGGCCTACCTCCACTTCCTCCCTAAATAACTAAGGTAGTCTCCAGGAGTAAAATAGAATGGTTCAATGTTAATATAAAATATCTGATCAGAAGTCCTTCTGCTGCCAATGTATGCAGAATGGCGAGTACCTGTGAGTTGCCCTTAATCATCTGCCATCCATGTCTAGCTGCATTACCTGAGTAGACCTACATAATAGTGTGGCGCCCGAGGGGGGCTACAGTACAGCAACATCAGCTGCTCCATTTACACCACCACCCTGGTAGCTGTTATTATTATTCAAAGTGCAGGTGACAGGGAACCTGCCTCATTGCTGGGAAGTACCAACAAGGAGATGATAACATGGCGTCACCGTAAAGGGAAGAGGTTAAAAAACACCTCATTGTTGCAGTGATCCAGGTTCATGTATTTCCTCTCATCTTCGGTGTGCCATTCGTTTTCTTTCACTGGCAAGGCATTCTGGTAATAGTGATGGGCAGTTTCTGCAATGAGGTAAGGATCTTCTGGGGAAAGTTGGCAGAAGGAAGAAGGGATGTTGCCGTTGTTGTAATTCAGGTATGGTTTTCCTTCATACGTGTCTTCTCCAAACATATTTGCATTAGACCTTAATGGGTGGCAGCCAACCTTTACTATAGGTGGAATTTCAGGAGCATGTGAAATGCCAAAATCAACTGCATTTAGTGAGCCTAATGTTTCACAGTGCAGACCTGACAGAAATGTAGTTGTACCATTGTGATGTTTGTCTGCCAGTGGGTTTCTGCCTAGCTCCATGTTTTTGTTCCAGCTTTGTTGCTCCCCACATTCGGAGTAGGCAGAGTCCGGGGGTTCAGTTGGGTCTCTGCTATCATATTCCATGATTCCAATCTGTTGACATTTGTTCAAGAGTCTGTCACAGCCCATGACCTGAGCATGCTCTATTAGATAAGATGATTTCCCAAAACTGTAGCCTTCAATGAGTGGTAAATAATTATTGAGCACTTGCTCTTCAGAGTCTTTGTCTCTGAAGGGTCCACTGAAACTGTCCTGTGACAACAATTCTTCTTGCTTAGAAACGATCAGTGGTAATGTGTCCTGGCTCTGCATGTCATCTGTCAGAAACTTAAGGGGGAAAAACAACACATCACAAAATTATGGAACTAAATTGAACGCCAGTTTATCTCAGTACTACAGAACTGATCAGTACTACTGATCCAGAAGCCTGAGGCAACATAATTGGTGGATGAGCAGCCCTGCCTCCTCGTAAGATGGCCAGATCAAAAGGCTACTGAGACATGACAACTAGCACAATTCCCCTGTCAATCCTAAACTCCCTTGGTGTCTTTTTCTCTTAACTCCTTTCCTTACTTTTCTATGAAACACTACCGGTAATGCGCAGTCCTCTTATATCTTACTGTTTTCTCTTTTTTTTGCTGTCAAGTCACAGCTGACTTATTGGTGACCCTGTATGGTTTGCAGAGGTGGTTTGCCATTGCCTGTCTCTGTGTCGCAACCCTGGACTTACTTGGAGGTCTCCCATCCAAGTATTAACCAGGGCTGATGCTGCTTAACTTTCACGAACTGATGAGATCCGGCTGGCCTGGACTATCTAGGTCAGGGCTATCTCTTTCTATAGGCCTGTTTTTGTCCTTTTCTTGTCTTGTTTTTCTGAATTCTCTCTCTCTCTCTCTCTCTCTCTCTCTCTCTCTCTCTCTCTCTCTCTGGCATTTTCCACGATTACACCCACCACACTAACCTGTTCTGCTCCACCGCAGAAGTGGAGTTAAAAGACACCGGGGAAAATCTGGTAGAAAATGGGCCACGGACGAACTTTCCCCTGTCTGATCGCTCCAGCGCGCTCTCATGGTGTCAGGATGGTCTGATCAGGCCATCCCAACTCCGTGCCATTGTTTTTTCCCTCTTCTCAGTATGCACATCATCGCAAACTCCATAGGGAGCCCTCAGTGCGGAGATGTGATTCATCAATTTCTCGTATAAGCGCACTGGAAGCAAATGCCAAAAAAAAACCCTGGCTCACCTGTGGTTGCGTCTGATCACGCAGTGGCGGGCTATGCCCGCAGCTTCCAAAGACTGTGTGATTGTGCAACTGGGGTCAAATTCCTCTGGAGGAAATAGCCCCATTTTTTCTGGCTCGTGTGACCACAACCTGTGTCACCTTTTGTTTCCTCAGGCCTGTGTATTTCAGGCCACTATTTGCTTTGTTCCACTTTCTACCTTTCTTTCCATTCAAGGACTAGCAACAGTCCTGGTAGAAGTTGGTTCCTCAATCCATAAAACCTCAAGAGGGGAAAAACTTAAAACCTCTGTTCCCTTTCATCCCATCATAGCCTGAAAAGGTCCAGTGGGGTAACTATTTGCCTTTTAAAATGCTGGCAGGATCCATTTGCAAATCTCCTTGTGTCATGTCTAGTCTCCAAAGGCACTCTAATTCAAATGATTTTTTCTCTCTGTTTCTAAAACATATTTTTCCATTGTGCAGCCAAGATTATTTTCCTTATAAATGGTAGTACCTGAAGTAGCCACCACAATCATTACGGGGACTACATATAAGCAGTACTTAGCTTGTGTCAGTATTGCTTTATCTGCCTGTCTTTAAGACATATGTCTGCATCAACACCTGTATACAGATATTTAAATGTATAAGTGCTCTTATTAAATATTAAACTAATCTCATGCTTTCCCATATATGTGGTAAACGTTTGCATACCAATTCTAGGAGGCAGCTTCAAGAAAAGGCTTTGATCTCTATGCCCTGTGTGTTGGCCCTCCAGAGCAACTGTTTGGCCACTGTGTGGAACTATGCTGGACTAGATGGATTATTATTGGTCTGATCCCGCAGGGATGTTCTTATGTTCTTACCATGTTAAAGGTATTGCTGTAGGAGGTGACTGAAACTTATCCTGGTCATAATCTAAACAAAGAATTTACAGTTGCCTTCATTCCTGATTATAGGGTGGTGGCAGTTAACAGAGACTGTGGCTTACTTTTGAAGTTGGACCACCACTTTTATGTTTTGTTTTAGGACTGCCAACCTCCAGGTAGGTTGTATATCAAAATGAGAGCTCATGGGAGGAGATTGTATCAATATAAAGACACTCCGTGAATGAATTAAGAACAAAAGCAGAAAGAATTGGTTTCTCAAACAAGGATTTTCTCTCACATAGTTCAACCCTTTCCTTAGCTCTAAGTAACACATTTGAAGGATAGCCCCCATTCCTAAAGGCACAGAGGAGTTGTTCAGAGTTCTGCAAATAATCATTTTCCCTAGTAGAATTTCTATTTATTCTTTGCAGTTGTGAAAAGGGAATATTGTGTCTTAAGTGTGCCGGGTGGAAAGAATTGAAGCTGAGTAATGTATTTTTATTGGTTGGTTTTTTAAAAGTCCTAGTAGGCAAAAACTGGGGATGTAGTAAATATGTTGTAATTTGGTGGATGTGACATAAAAATATATTTTCAGTTTCACAGCTAAAGAGTACCAGCTATCTGAAGAAGCAAAACGTGAACGCGGCCGTGAAGCCAGCCGTGTATAGCTGCTGCTCATACAAGACATAGAACCTTTGCTCTCCTGAAGTTTGTCTTTAGACAAAGGATTTGTGGACTTTACTTGAGTTTTCCCTTTGTATCAAGTACTTTTTGATCCTAGCTCTTTAAGAATATATAAGGGTTTGTTGAACTTTAACAAATATTTAAAACTGTTTGAATTGTTTTGCACAATGTAATCTTTCTGCTTTTGTTTGTAATTCATTCACGGAGTGTCTTTATATTGATACAACCTTCAGGTAGGGCCTGGAGATCTCCCAGAATTACAACTGATCTACAGATGCCAGAGACTAGTGCCCCTGGATAAAATAGACACTTCGGAGGGGAGACTCTATGGCATTATACCCCGCTGAGATCCTTCTCCTCCCCAAACCCCAGTCTCCTCAGCCTCCATTCCCAAATCTCCAGGAATCCCCCAACCCAGAATTGGCAACCCTAGCTGTTTTGCCAATAAGTAGTCACATTTGGGGTGCCACAAGAGGGATGTAGGTAAAATTCTTGGGTCCCTTACTGGCATATTTGGGACTATCCTTCCTAATAACAACCCTGTGAGATACTTTTGATGTAGAAATGTTATGAATGGTCCAAGGACACCCAGTATGTGAGCTTTAGAAAGGAGCTAAAATTGGAGCCTTGTATTCTGGTCTCAGTCTTACACTGGTTCTCCATGTTGTGTACTGAGAGAAGGGAACACAGAAGATTTTCTAAACATCTTTCATTGGGTGTGTCACCATGAGTTTGCTTCAAATGCTTCAGTTATTGGATTACAATTATAAAAGGGTCAACCCCCCCCAAATGCTTTCTCATTGTGTCAGTGTTAAAAGACTAACTTTCTTTTTCTTTTTTTGTATACTCCTATAATGTTGGTAAATTACTATTTGTAGAAATAAGGTACAGCACAGGATTCTTTCTGTGCACTGGGACTTTTTGTATGAAGACATTCCTTTGGTGGTGCATTCTTTAGAGCCCCTCCCAGTTAAAGAGCAAGGTGATGCCCCAGGGGAAATGTTGAAAGACCATCTAATTATAGCCCATTCTATTTTTAGACCATAAAATATATTTGAGAAGGTCTTTGTGGTACATTACAGTGGAGTGTCTTTCTGCATTTTAAAAAGCTGCTCTTCACCTGAGATCAGAATCCTCACTGTAACTAGTTGCTGTCAGAAGGATCAGAGAGAGTTAGATGGGCTTAAGTCCAATTGAAAACAGCAGGACTTGGTTTAGGGTAAATAAAGCAGGTTCAGATTCAATCACTGCAAAGCAGTGGGAGAAAATGTAAAACCTGCAGGCTATATGTCTCCTGTCAATGCTTTTGTTATGAAAAAGTTTTGCTTTCCTGTTTCTCTGCACAGATTTGCCCAATTGCAATATAGTGGTAGAATGAGGCTGCAGCGTCCAGGAAGAAAGTCATAGTTTGCTCCAGTCCCCATGTTGTGAAGCTTTGTGCAAGAAAGAAACGTGAAACAATAATGAAATCAGTTGCTTGGATCTGCCTACCATTTCCACAGACAGAAGCACAATTTTCCTGTCGCACCCTTCCTCCTACAGGCCAAAATGCCCCCCCCCCCGAAGAAATTTTAGTCTGGACCCAGTCCAGTAAGTATACCAATGCTAAGATCCAGAACATTCAAGATATATAAAAACCAGGATCCACCATTCTGCTCTGCTCCCACCATTCCATAACACCCTTGCATGACCCAGAAATGAAAGCAAGGAATGGGATGATTGGATAAAGAGACAGCCTTGATTAATGGCTGGGGCACCAGGGCCAGGAGAAGGGTTAGCCCTCCAAAATTTCAGTCCTTGAAGTGCACCCTTTTGCTTTTTCTCATATTGGCGCATGGTTGCTATTCACTCCAAGTGGACTATTTTTCTGTTCTTCCCTGCATGTTCTAGGGATCCTTGCAGTTTGAAAGCCCTTTCTCCCTCCTGCCCTACTAGTCAATAAAAAACGACAGTTACCTCGATATCCCTGCTTCGTTTAAGTCTTGGGGATGCGAGTAGAACAGCTGTATGTGCCTTTTGTATTGATCTTCTTGCTTCCGCTTCTAACTTTGTTTCTGGCCTTGGGTGATTGTGAGTACCCTTGGACTTTGGAAAGTAACCAATGGGAAAAGAAATATAAAACCAAAAGCTGTCAATATCAGATTCACTATGGCTGAGTTCAGACTGGCAGTTTGAAGCGAGCGGGAGTCGTGGCAAAACACTGCACCGACTGATATGGGAGCATACAGGGGAGGAGGTGTAAGGGAGTGTTCACACTGTTGCCCCACCCCTGACGGAGGCATGGCTGTAAGGTGCGGCTTTCTTTTTGGCAATCTGAAGATATGCACTTATGCACATATGCGCATACGTGCACGAGGAAAACCTGTGGCTTTTGGCATTCACACTTTGTTGGTGCAGGATGGACATGGGATAACCGCGCTTACCAGGGTTTGATACCACTTTCATCTGGTATCTTTTAAACTCGGGAAGGAAGTGTTACGAGACGGGTTGAGTACGGCTGGGGAACAACCGACAGATGTGCCTGTGTGAACGGCCCCTTTAATCCATTTGTGAAACATTTCTGAAACGTGCCTATATCGGGCCAAACTGCCAGTCTGAACTCGGCCTATATAATCCTAATAAGCATTTTAAAAAAATGTCCTGGGTGCTTGAGAAATTACAGCATAAATATCTATACATTCTTGTCTTAACTTTTTCTTTAAGGAGCTCAGCACACTTTCTTGATAGTAAGTCCCATGGAAGGTAGTGATACTTATTTCTAAGGAAACATGCATGGGATTGGGATTCTGATTCTGGCAATATGGTCTCTAGCAAACATTTTCCTGCATTTCCCCAAGGATATATTTGTCTGAGCAATATTCTTAAATGTAAATGGCTATATAGTTGGTCATACACTTTATTGTTTTAAAAAGTGTGGTCAGTTACACTCCTGAGGATAGAGATATTGAGGTCAAGTGAATTAAAGTGTGATTCTGTGCATGCTTACTCAGAAGTAAATTCTATCTAAATTAATAGGCCTTAATCCCAAGAAAGTGTACTGAGGATTTCATTCTCTGTAATTAAAGACCACTCAGTGGCTTGTATCTTCTCCCTCCTGTTTATCTGACAACCGAACTGCTATTATAACCATAGCTCACATTTCCTTCCTTTTCTAGTACTTATTTAATGCTTTCTGAAGCTGTTCATGGCTAGCAGTGGTCATACAGCATTGAAGCTTTCCTGTGTTTAATTCTACAGACCAGTTGGTGTGAGCCAAAACAGAGGTCCTGAATTAACAAAACCTAGTGGACACCCTGTATGATTGGACAGGTTTTCTGGGTCATTTACTTGAGGTGCCACATACAGTTTCTTAGGTTCCCATGCAGTCAATGGAAACGTGTTTGCAGTGCTCACCATAAAGATAGAGTTCAGCTAGAACAATAGTCTGCCTTTGAATAAATCAAACAATTCTTTACCAACCTGAAAAAATATAAATGGTTCTTCATGCCTCCAGAAGTTGGTTACAGGATAACCACCGTGGCCTCGACAGGGAATAAGCTTCAAAGGCCCATTACAGTTAGGACAGGATTTCCCTGTTAAAAGTGCACTGTTTAATATTTCCCCTCAAGCAACTTTTGTTTTATGCACACATTTATTCTGGCTGGATAAAAGAGATTTACACAAGACAAAGCTGCCATTGATGTCCATGGCCAGTGATCAACCATTTTTCATTCTGACTTCCATATGCTTGGAATTATCACTGAATTCAAAGAAACTTCCAAGTAAGCATGCTTTGAATCAGTGCTGCTACTGTGACCCTAAATATATTGATTGAGATCCAATGTGTACATGTAGAGCATTTTCAAGTATGTATAGTTGGTGAATGAGAAGAAGGAAGGTTTCCTGATTTTCAAGTCTGGTTTCAGCCTCTCATGCTATGTTGGTAAGGTAGCCAGGAGGCTTGGAGAAAAACATCCTGCAGGTTAATGGGTTATTAACCAGGTGGGATGGAAGGTGGCATGGTATAGTTTGATCTCATCAGATCTTGAAACCTAAGCAGGATTGATACTTGGATGCAAGGCTACTCAGAAGGCTCTGCAGAGGAAAGCACTGGAAAACCACCTCTGCTTTGGTTACCACACGCCAGTTGCAACTTGAGGGCACTTATGGATGTATTTACCAAGTGATGTTATCTACGTCCATGCTATGAAAAGCTTCAGACTCCTGTTTCTAGCCATTAAGCCATTAAAGGTCGGTATGAGCAGTTTGTCAGGAGTATGAGGAGCTGTTATAAAATGATGTCATGAGAAGTATTTGTGTGAATATGGAAGAGTTTACTTAGCTATTGGATTCCATACAATGAATGATAGCAAGAGCCTGGTATTCAGAAAAAAAAGGATTTTCTTCCGAGTCAGGATTAGGGCATTGGATCAGTGTAAACAACTGTCCATAGAAAGTAGAATGGGGGGGCGGGGCTACAACCCATGGTGGTTGGTAGCCATTACCCACAGCTCGCCGTCTGTTCGCTCTTAATTTATTATTTTCAACCCTTTTGAATTTATTTGAGATTCTGCAAACATGCCTCCAAGGAAAGATAAGAAGGGGAAGCAGAAGGCAAAGCAAAAAATGGATAACATACCTTCTTTGACAGAGTTTTTTGCTCAAGCTGAAGATGAAGCTGGAACCTCCTTGGGAAATATTGATAGGGAAGGGACTACTCTTACAACAAACTTTCTTTTAGAAGCCTTGGCTAAACAATGACAAGAGTTAAGAATGGACATTGTGGAAATGCTAAAGCTAGCATTCCAGCGTATGGATGAATTAGAAGAACAGTTTAAGCAAACTAAGCAAACAGCTGAAGACGCTTTAAAGAAGGTATCTGTGTTGGAGAAACAAACTGCCTGTAATTCCCCTGATTTATGGGCTAGAGAACACATTTTTTCTTTGGATTATCATTCCCGTGAGTTGCATCTGAAATTCAGAGGATTTAAACCAAATGTTGAAGAAGGAACGGAACTAAAAAATGTTATTGCTAATTGGCTGGCTGGCATTTTAAATCTGGAGGAAGGAGTGGCTCCTTTAATTCAAAAGGCTTATCGAGTGGGCAGACAACGAGAGGAAGCAATTAATACTTCAGTTTATTATCAAGACATTGTTGTAGTTTTTAAGGACTTCAGAACCAGACAACGGATATTAAAACAGGCGAGAGAAAAAATGGTTTGGAATATCAAGATATAAAGATACAGGTGTTTCCTGATCTTCCACCAGAATTCCTCAAGATAAGGAGTTGAAACCAATTACAACTAAACTCAGTCCTTGGGTGAAAGGTTAAGTCCTTTCAGCCCACGGGCCTCCCTTGGACTGAACTCAGGTTCAGAGAAGAATAGAGAAAGAAATACTATGATCGGTTTTGAGCCTGTGTATTTTGTTTTAATTTTGTGGTTTTGTTGAAAGTTTTGCTTAAAATACTTAAAATGTAGCATAGGTAGATACTGAGAAGACAGAAGAACTGAAGAGACAGAAGAAAGAAAGAAGCTTTTATTGTAGATTATTAAAGCAATTAAGAAAGTATATGTACATCTATAAAAAAGAAAAACAAAATAAGAAATTGTGATATAAGAATGTATGCATGCATTATTAGCTAAAATTGTAATCTTTATTTGTAACTCAGTTCTTTAATAAAAAAAATGCAAAAAGAAAAAGAAAGTGGAATGTACTGTAGACAGAGCTGATTTTACTGTGATTTACCTCCCAAGTGTGCTTTGAATTGCAATTCTCAAGCTCAGGATTGTTTGATTTCAGTTCTTTATTTCACAATCAGAAATGCACCTGATCTCACTAACTTATTATGAGTACAATGAATTTGAATTTTTTTTCAGCTAAATGAGTTTTCTTTGGGAAAGATTCAGTTTCAAAGGTCCCAAAATTGCTTCAGATGATTAATATTATCCCAGCTTCATGAAGGGAATTAATTTTTCTTTTGCTATTGTCATAAATTTTACAGTTTCCAATTAAATTACAATTAAAGCAATCAATATCCAACTTACTTTATTTTCAAGAAATCCTTTTAAACAAAAAACCCCGCATTTACTAAATCTCTGTTAATCCAAAACTTTAACTGTGTTTTATTGGTTCTAATAAGGTCATCCATTAGATTTTCAGATCCAGCCAGCATTTAAGAAGAAATCAGAGCTGACATCAAAACCAGGGCTGGCTGTGTGTTACAATTCTATTAAAATACAGAATTTCATACAACACTTTATTGGTTTTAACCCCGCCCTGTCCCTACTAAAAAAGTTTCTTTCACGTATTATCGAACGTTAACTTTCTGGACTTCTGAATTTTATAATGAAGCAAATGATGTATTTTATATTGTTTAAATTCCATTAACAATCAGCCTTCAATTTATAATGTAGGCTGGGAACTTTTTATGAAATTGTTTGATGGTTAATTTTAATTACAGTATTTAAGCTAAAGAGTAGGTGGTTTGCTTCAGTTTTCAAATACCCTGGTTTGTATTGCTGCTAATATATCACTCTGAATATGCTTGTTTTGTTATCTTGATGCTGTTGCAGTAGCATTGGTGTCTAGCTAAAATGCTTAATAAGCAGAGCAAGAATTCCCTGTAGAAATTAATGTAATTAAGCTCATCTACATTGTTTAGACATAATTGATTGGCATAAATGCAGCACTTGCACATTTCAATGCATCCATTCCATATCCCCTGAAGCTGCTTGGATTCAGACAAACATCTGTGAGACTGACACACCAATTCTAGATAGACAGGACACAATCCAACAGAAGCTTCCCACCTCACTTAGGAGGGTGAGGAAATCAGCCACAGAGTGTCAGAAGAAAATACCATCCTGCTGGGTATCATATGGGCTGTGCCTCTCTAAAAGTAATATCATAGGACTTCATGTGAGTAGCATCAGTTGTGAAATGTATCCATCTCAGTGATTGTGCCTGAATTTTTACTGCAAGTTGATGCACAGGCTGCTTTTTATGGTATTTTATTGATTTCTATTGATTTTATATATTTCAATTGTATTTGAACTAAATTTCTGTTGTATATTACTGGACTTTTATTGATTTTTATTGTGTTGTAAACTTCCTTGGGGACTTTCAGTTGAAAGGCAGCCTATACACTAATAATAACTAATCCCATTAATTTAACTGGGACTTACTTTCAAGCAAGGGTGCTTCAAGTTGGAGTGTAAGACATCCACATACTAGTTTCATTGATCTCAGTGGTAGGGATGGGCACAAACTGAGTTCAGGATGAATTTTGGGCAATTCATGGTTTGTGAACTGAAGTTTGTGGCAGGTCAATCAGCACAAACTTTCCATGAACTTTCAAGCGGTTTGTGTATGGATACATTTCCAGACAGGCTATCTACGCTCAATCGAAATGTTTACCAAAGTTCAAAGCAACAGGGGGTAGCAGAACTTGGAGAGTGTATAGAGGAGCATCCAGGGGAGGTCCCCTGTGACTTTGATGTTTCTAGCTTGCACAGGATCCGTTCTATACACTCCTGAACCTCCTGAATCTATGCCTGTCATTTCTCCAGAAAACACTTTCCTGGGAGCACTTTCTGGGGGGGGGGGAGCATCTCAGACCCCATAAATCCAACCCTCACCAAACCTGGAAAGCAGTTAGAGGACAGTCAGCCAGAGATACCCTGCAAGTTTGGTATCTCTAGCATGCAGGGGGGAGATTCTACTGCATCACAAACCTCACAAATGGTACTGGTTTGTCTGGTGGCTAAACGTTCATGATGGTTCCTGGTTTGGGAACCGGATGCTCCATGAAACACGAACCAAACCACACCACATTTTCCTGGTTCATGCCTATCCCTACTCTGTGGGACTTACCCAATCCTTAGGATCAGTCCATATATACTTACCTGGGAATTAGCATGATGGAAGTTAGTGGGGCATACTTTCAGGTATACATGCACAGGATCAGGCTGACATACTACAATGTGTGCTCTGTTGACTGGCACTATTATGTATTTATTTAGTACATTTTTGTCCTGTCCTTATTCCAAGGAGCTCAGGGTTGCATGTGTTGTTCTCATCTCCTTCACTTTATGTGGCAACCCTGTCGGGTAGCTTAGGCTTGAAGCAAGTGACTATTCCACAGTCACCCAACAAGTTTCATGGCAAAGTGGGGGCTCAAACCTGAGTCTCCCCTGTCCTAATCCAACATTGCACCCACTAAGCCATGATGCCAAGGCCAGTCAGACTACCTAGTATCAAAGAATGAAACTCTATTGGTCCCAAGTGGGATTTGCTTGCCTTCTAGGTGCTTCCTGGGTCTCATGCCTATGGAATACGAGTGGCAAAATAAGGAATGCGGTCCTCTTTCCAGAGCCATACGTACTTTGCTGTTTTTGCCTGGCTTTATCGCATATGGCTGGTCTCAGATACATCTTCCTCCCATCAGGGGTTGAGCAATCATTGCTACAGACAACCACACCAAGGCAGGACTTCTTTAAGATGCGTGAGTTGTGATTGTTGGTGTTCCTCATGGCCCAGCTGCTCAGGTGCCGCTGAGCATTTTTGTCATCGCTGCTATAGATGCATTTTACGTAAGAATCTGGCCACTCTTGAAAGCAGTCAACTTGCTTCACATCCTGCAAAAGAACCCAAACAATGTTCTATTTTTAACTGAGGCAACTTCATGTGGGTAAATGTTTTTTCTTCATAGAATCATAGAGTTGGAAGCAGCCCCATAGCTAAGGAGTTTGGGGGGAGGGGGCCGGGGGGGCCACCAGCCAATTAAATCAAAGTTAATTCAATTAACTTTGATTTAATTGGTGGAACTGGCTGCAACTGAGAGGGGAGGAGAGCACCGCTGCCAACAGCAGGGACAGCCCTTGCACCGCAGATGAACCCTTGAGTCTTGCGGGCGCGCCAGGGCACTCTCCCTCTGCCTCCCTGGGCAACTGGCCACCAGCGAGCGCCCTGCTGAGCTTCCCCGCCTCCCTCCCTCTCGGGGTGGACTGACATGGACAGACAGGGGGTGGCTCCCCAGACAGCCGGCTCCCCCAGGATGCCTCACCCCGGCCAGGTCCACTGCTGCTGAATTCACCGGCACTTTTTTCTCCCCGTTGAAAAAATGAGGAGGGAATGTTAGATGCAGAATTGCCCTAGGTCTTATTTCCAAGCAACGTCCCCTTAGTCAGGCCACACCGTATGTGTTTGAAGAGGGCTTGTTGGGGGGGGGGGCCTTCCTAAACCAGGAGAGGGGCAGCCAGTTGCGCCTCTCGCTCTGCCGCTTTTAAAATCGCCAAGTCCCAAAGTGCATGCATCGCTTAAGGTGCTGGGAGGAGTGAAGCTGATCTGCTCTGCAGCTGAGCTGATCAGGACCTCGAGAAGCTGGGAGGGAAGCAGCCGGAAGGGGAAAGCGGCCCACCCCAGGAGGGAGGTGGCCCAGAAGAAACGCAAGGGGGCCGGGTCCCGTGGGTCCCACGTTAGCTACGGGCCTGCTTGGAAGATACCTCCAGGGTCATCTAGTCCAACCGCCTGCACAATGCAGGAAATTCACAAATATCCCCCCACACACCCACCCACACCCAGTGACCCCTGCTCCATGCCCAGAAAATGGCAAAAAACCCTCCAGGATCACTGACCAAACTGGCCTGGAGAAAAATTGCTGCCTTACCCCAAAGTGGCAATCAGCATTTCGCTGGCTTGTAAGAAAGGGCCATGAGTACTAAGCTTTGATGCAACCCTTCCCGCCCTCCTTATCATGATCTGCCTAAGTTATTTTTCCATTTCAAAGACAGTTGGTGAAGTCTGCCCTTAAATTATAAGAAAAAATATAAACTGTTTGACCAGTCTAGATGTGGACAGTGGAAGAAGAAGTGGACATTGTCTGCTTTGACTTTGCAGCAGCTTTCTGCGCTCTTGGGTCTTTTATACCACTTACTACCTGATGCTTTTAGTAAAAGACGGCAGGGATTGAATCTGGAACCTCCTGTATGCAAAGAAGGTGCTCTGTCACTAAACCACAGCTCCTCCCCTGTCTGCTCAGGTGACATAAGGGGGGGGGGCACTGCTCACACTGGTCAAGACACAAGCCTTTGGACTCTGAGAGCAGTGGAAGGCTCAGCATTTTGCTCTCATGCAAGAGCAAACAAGCAGCCTGCAGAACTGAGCAGCAAAAGAAGGTGCTCTGTCACTAAACCACAGCATTTTGCACTCATGCAAGAGCAAACAAGCAGCCTGCGGAACTGAGCAGCGAGTAGAAGCCTCTCTAGGAATCTAGGGTAGGGTCTCTCACTTTAACCTTCTGCTTGACTAGAATGAGGCCACATTCGTTTGCTGGCACTTGACTAGCCCAGTAAAACAGCATTTGTTCTGCTTTCTAGTCAAGCAAAGGGCTGAAATTAAAGAGGATGGATTCCTGGAAAGACATTTTCCTGCTCTGCCTCCTTACACCCGCAGATACTGAACTCCCTGATCGAGCAACTACCACACGTGTGAGCTACAGAGGTGGAATTTGCCCAATTCCCACTAGGGTTGCCAGCTCTGTGTTGGAAAATACCTGGAGGTTTTGGGGGTGGAGCCTGAGAAGGGCGACATTTGGGGATGAAAGGGACTTCAATGGGGTATAATGCCATAGAGTCCACCTTCCAAAGTGGCCATTTTCTCCAGGTGAACTGATCTATGTTCCCTGGAGGTCAATTGTAATAGCGGGAGATGTCCAGCCACCACCTGGAGGTTGGCAACCCTAGTTTCCACCCTGGAAGTGCCTGATAGAGCAGAGGCCCAGGACAATAGACTCATTCACAGTTGCTCCTCTCTCTATTCAAGAGAACATTATTAATGACTCTTCCAGGATGCCATCATCATGGACTCTATTTGGACTTTTAGTTTCATTAAATTGTTTGTAGAATTTTAATGTTTTATATGTTTTTATGGCATTAAGCCCTCGTGTACATTGTCCAGAGCCCGGCGTAAGCTGGGAATAGGGTGATATGATGATGGTGATCCTAGTCTGACACCCTAACCACTACACCAAACTGGATCTATCCCTGATTATCCTATACTAATTCAGTACCTGTTGTGGGTAAAGAATGTGCTGTCTTTGTTTAAGCCCTAGACAATACAATTACATCTACTGACACATTCTTATTCAGCTATGATGCCTGTTTCAAGAAATCTGTCATCTGTTGAGGGGACGGAGCTATTGCAGCAGCCATTCAGATGCCTCAAGCTACAAAGACAAAGGCAGCAGCTCCTCTGACAGAACAGCTTTGCCACCTCAGGAGATTCCTATCAAATCCCCCTCCTCCCAATTTGAATGGGGGAATGTGGGGAAGGACTCGCTCTGCTTAGGATACGAGCCCCAATACCGTGGAATGGTTTAAAAGTCTTATTTAATGCATTAAAATAAATTTATCTTCCAGGAAACTATGTTTTTCCCCAAGATATCATGTTGTGCTGTTTGAGAATTAATTGGGGGGGGGTGGTGGAAAGTGGGGGTAGCACCTTACTTGGATGAGGGTGAAAACATACCTTGAACTAGTCCAGGCAGTAGGTGTTGCCTGTCTGAGTAGACAATACTGACGATGGACCGAGGGTCTGAGTCAGTATAAGGCAGCTTCATGAGTAACTTTGTATGAACTAGTCCTGTGAAACTTTGTCCTGCTATGACCTCTTGAAGTGCACACACAGAACCAAAAAATGAGGTTCAAGCTACCTGATTTACTGGTGTTTCTTCTTCTTCTTCTTCTTCTTCTTCTTCTTCTTCTTCTTCTTCTTCTTCTTCTTCTTCTTCTTCTTCTTCTTCTTCTTCTTCTTCTTCTTCTCTCTTCCTCCTCTTCCTCTTCCTCCTCTTCCTCTTCCTCCTCTTCCTCTTCCTCCTCTTCCTCTTCCTCCTCTTCCTCTTCCTCCTCTTCCTCTTCCTCCTCTTCCTCTTCCTCCTCTTCCTCTTCCTCCTCTTCCTCTTCCTCCTCTTCCTCTTCCTCCTCTTCCTCTTCCTCCTCTTCCTCTTCCTCCTCTTCCTCTTCCTCCTCTTCCTCTTCCTCCTCTTCCTCTTCCTCCTCTTCCTCTTCCTCCTCTTCCTCTTCCTCCTCTTCCTCTTCCTCCTCTTCCTCTTCCTCCTCTTCCTCTTCCTCCTCTTCCTCTTCCTCTTCCTCTTCCTCTTCCTCTTCCTCTTCCTCTTCCTCTTCCTCATCATCATCATTATTGTGTTATGTATTAATTGCTCACACCACTGCCAGGTGTCCTGGTTCTTTCCATGTATAAAGCTGCTTAATGCCTTATACATCTCCTAGCAGCTTCCCGAAGGCTATGTATGTTCCTTCCACAACTACCAGTTGGAAGTAATAACAAGAGCTGCCATTTATGTTGCATCCCTCAGACAAGAACAATGCGGCGTTAGGATGACACAGGTACATATCAAGATGGCCTTGCTGCTTAACTTCAGACAGGAAGACTTGCAGCGCAGTCCTAAACAGAATTATACCATTGTCAATGGACTGAAGTCAGTGGGCTTAAAAACCGTTAATCCCATTTGGGATTGCATTGTTGGTTGCTCACTACTGTTTGTTTGAGGAGTCCACTGGTTTAGAAATAGCTTGATTCTGCTTCACCTAGGACTGCCTGCATATTAGGGTAGTCCCATATTATGGACTCATTGCTGCTGTGACCGCAGAGGCATGAGCTGGGGAAACAGAGCATCCACCTGAACCATATTCTCTGTGGTTCCCATGAGATCCCCTCATGCCTGCCACTTTCTCCCCCCTCCCCGGGGGTCTTTTCCCCAGCTTTTTAAAAAGTCAGTTTTAATTATATTGCTATAGTGTGGTGGTGGGAGGGGAGGTTTGGGAAGCCACCCCTTCCTGTCCACATGGGGAATAAACTGAACTATGATTTATCCAGAAAGGTTGAAGCAAAGCGGGGCTGGGAAATACTGGAGCAAGCCAGGGGAAATCATGGAAGGAGAATGACTGAAGGAGGACAGACGCTCTGGGGGAAAAACCTGCTCCAGGTTGCAAGCCAGGGTGCAGCAAAACACCTGGCCCATGTTTAAGCTGTCAAAGAAGTCTCCCGGGGACAACTGGATAGTTTTGTTCCAGTAAGAAACTCTCTGCATTGTAATTATTCTAAAATAAAGAGGAGTATTCCCACATCATCTTCTTGTGCATTCAACATTTTCTGAGTATTTCCCTATATCTAGGAAAGAAACTAGGCAGTGCTTCCTTTTAAAAAGTCTTTTGTACAACTTTTCCAAACTGCTTTGGAGTCTAAGCAAACAGCTTCTCGTTATGTATGAAGCAACTACTGAGCAAGGAACACCAAAATGTGTGTGCACATGCATGCGTCTATTGGATTGTGGCTGGCCACTATAATTCAGCTAGTGGTTAGCTGCTGTGTGAGACTACCTAACCACCAATTGGCATTGTGAAAATGTGAGGTTTCTCATTAAAGCCATTCAAGTTAACAAACACGAAGAAACCATTTTTTCCTGTGGTTTTTACAAAGTGCTGTAATTATCAATATATATGCCATAAATCTGAAAATTTTGCATGGAATCACAGTTCCAAAGGCTACAAATTGGATTGGATACAAAGCTTCCAGCTTCCACAAATGGAGCAAGAAAGTGGGATAAAGTTTTCTTGTTTTCCTCTGGAGCCCAGTGTGCCCCCCCATCTCTTCTGAGTGTTGGGAGCCCCTCCAGAACATTATGCCATGTAACAGGTCGGTAGTGAGAAGGGAGAATTAGCCAAAATCACAAGTATTGAGGTTTTTTCCTAGTTAATTTTCCTTCTTGCGGCATCCCTCTATGCTACATGACACAGTTGTTCTCAGGGGTCCCCCAACCCTGACCAGTAGCTCTTTGTGGGTACATGGGTGGGTGGTTGCTAGGAGAAAGCAGTTAACATTCTTGGTGAACCTGTGTTGTTTGTAGGAACCTTGTATCTAACACTAACACATCACTTTCATATTAGATTTATTAATTATTTTTTCTCCTTGTTTTCTTCCATCGTGAAGCTCAACATGACGTCCATGGGGGTCCCAAGGCGTCTCCCATCTGGGAGCCTTGATCAGACCCAGACCTGCTTAGCATCAGCAAAGGTACTATGCCCCAAAGCCCCCTCAAAGTAATATATGAACAAAAGCTAGGTGTAAAGCATATATACAAGGCATAAGGCGGCCAGCATAAAACATATTTAGATCTCATTGATTTCAGTGGGGAGAGATTTAAGCATATGCTTAACTTTCTGTGCTGAAATCAATGGGGTTTAGATACATTTGTGATTTGGCTAGCTCATGCCCTGGCATATTTGCATATTATTGCTTTTCTTCTGTGGAACACTTATTCCAGCCTCATTGTCAATGATCTTCTCTACAGTTAACTTCAGTTTAATCTGTTGTGAGAGGCTACTGAGAGCTCTTAACCACTTCGAGCAATTCCTGCTAGAATACATGCAAAGAAGTTAAGACGATGGCCCGCCATTCCTGGGATGAGCATACAAGCAATCAAGCCCATTATGTCCAGTTGAAGCCAGGACCAATACAGTATCGGTTCATCTAATTTTTAAATCTAATCCTGCAAGGTTGAAATGATACAAACACTCGGTGACTACATTTTATGACCCCAATGGAATCAGTGGCAAACCCCCACCACCACCACTGGATTCCAACAGCTTTCAGTTGAGCTTCGTATTTTATTTTGTTACGATGTGCTAAGTAACAGGGGTTGACAATTGGATAGTTCCTCAGGAGAAAGACATTATGCTGTATGAAGCCATGTATGCTGCTGTTGTAATATACCTGAATTAATAACTTAAGCAAATGTATCTATTCCCAGAAAGGGGAGAGAATAAAATGTTTTTAAAAGATATGTTGAAAATATTTGCAATTGCAAAAAGTATGCTCAGCGTCCCAGATACGTGCCTTAGGAAGCTTGATGTCATTGATGTCCCAGCTGATCCTGTCTCTGTCCTGGGAAGCCAAGTCTTCCTGCTTCATGCTCACATCTTCTGCAGCTCGCAGCATTTCAGAAACCGTCCCCAAGACTTAGCGAGAGCAAGCTCTGCTGTCAGCTCTCAGAGTTGTCGAGCAGCCAGTGTTCGCAAGTGGTTTAGAACCAGGAAGCTTTTCTCCTGCAGCCAAATGATAGGCTGCTCATTAAAGATAAAAATCAGTGTTCTTTTGCTCGAAAAACTTGTTCCATTAAAAGTGTTGCAAGCAGCCGAGATAATGGAAAGTATAGCTGCAAGACAAGTGTGTGGCCTTCTGGGGAGGGTATTAGCCAGAAGTCAGGAAAAGATATTCCTTGCTATAGCTGCTAAAGAGCCTGTGTGCACCTGGCTAGTTGAACCCACCAACAAAGAACAAGTTATATTGATAAAGTTTACTTATTTATTTAGATACCTTTATATCCAGCTTATCTCCTCGGTGGGGACCCAAAGCAGTTTACAACACTGTCCTCTTCTCCTTCATTTTATCCTCTCAACAATATCCTTTTAGGTTAGGCTGAGAGACAGTGACTAACCCAAGGTCACCCAGCAAGCTTCCATGGTGGCTGAGTGGGGATACAAACCTGGGCCTCCTAGATCCTAGTCTGACATTCTAACCACTCTGCTGTGCTACACCGTGGTGGCGGCTCTGTTAAAGCTGAAGCAATCAAGAATGCTATTACTATGTGTTCACTTGTTTCCTAGTAGCTTACATGCGGCGGGCTGAATCCTACAACTCCATTCAATACTGGATCTTTCCTCTGGGATGAGGAATCTTGCATGGGCAGAATCGGTCTCTTCTGCTGTCACGAGGCTCCCTCATTGGCGGAGCAGTCACAAGATACTACATGGAAGTTTTAAATTCTGGTCTGAATGCTGCTAAAGGTAAAACTAAGGCTGCAATCCTATGATCACTTACTTCATCCTAAGCATCATAGAATTAATGGAACTTACATCCAAGTAAACACATATAAGATTGTGCTGTGTGTCTCACTGGAACATAAGAACATAAGAAGAGCTCTCCTGGATCAGACCAATAGTCCATCCAGTCCAGCAACCTGTCTCACACAGTGGCCACTCAGTCCCCCTGGACGGCCAACAACAGGGCATAGAGGCCGAGGCCTTCCCCTGATGCTTCCTCCTGGCTCTGGGATTCAAAGGCTTAGTGCCTCTGGATGTGGAGGTTCCCCTCAGTCACCATGGCTAGTAGCCACTGATAGACCTATCTTCCATGAATCTATCTGATCCCTTTTAAATATGGTTGTTCCTGTGGCCATCACTACATCCTCTGGCAGTGGATTTCAAATTTTAATCACTCTCTGTGTAAAGTAGTATTTCCTTTTGTCCATCCTGAACATACTGCTCATCAGCTTCATTGGATGCCCTTGAGTTCTCATATTTTGGGAGAGGGAGAAAGATTTCTCTTTATCAACTCTCTCCATAACATGCATAATTTTATAAACCTCTATCATGTCCCCCCTTCCTTTTCTCTTTTCTAAACTGAAAAGTTCCAGACTCTTTAGCCTTTCCTCATAGGGAAGGCTCTCCAACCCCCTAATCATCTTGTTTGCCCTCATCTGTACTTTTTCCAGCTCTGCAATGTCCTTTTCAAGATACAGTGACCAGAGCCGTACACAGTATTCCAAATGAGGCCGCACCATAGATCTATACAGGGGCATTACAATATTGGCGATTCTATTTTCAATTCCTTTCCTAATAATCTCTAATATAGTTTTCATTTTTCACCACTACAGCACACTGAGTTGACACTTTCATTGAGCTATCCACTATGACCCCAAGATCTTTTTCAGTCTCAGCAAGTTCAGAGCTTGAAGTTGGTATTTTTTATCCCAGTGTGCATCACCTTACATTTACCAATACTAAACTTCATTTGCCACATTGGAGCTTTTGGAGCTCTTCACAGTCAGCCTCGGTTTTCACCATCCTGAATAATGTGGTGTCATCTGTGAACCTGGCCACTACACTACTCACCCCTAGTTCCAGATCATTCCATCCAAATACTAACCAGGGCTGGCCCGCCTTAGTTTTTAAGATCTGATACGATCGGGATAACCTGGGCTATCCCGGTCCAGGCATGTTTTTCTCCATGCTTGTATGCAGGGGTCATTTCGTAGAAAAAGAGGTGCAGGAGCTCATTAGCATAACTCATTAGCATAACTTATTTGCATATGCCACACCCCCTGACATCACAGGATGTGTGTCAGAAGGCAACACCCACTGTTGTCTACATGTTTGTTCACTTCCTCAAAGAACTCCAAAATGTTGGTGAGGCAGGACTTCCCTTTGCAGAAGCCATACTGATTTTCCCTCACCAGGCTTTGTCCTTCTATGTGCCTAGCAGTTCTCTCTTTGATTATTTATTTAATTTATTTATTCATTTATTTTATTAAATTAGATGTGCTAGGTTGCCCTTCCCTGCAAGCAGGGCTCAGGGTGGTTTACAACAAAAACAGATACAATAAATAATACAGTTTAAAACCAATGTTAAAATTCCTATAATATATCAGGAAATAAAAACAATACAGATCCCAAGATGGCAGAAAGATTTTAAATTTCATGAGCTGCCTGGGGGGAGGGAAGGTTGCAGATGGTGGGATATGTGTGAGAGTGCCATATTTTATACTGTCCGATCACTGTCCTCAACCAAATGCCTGGTGGAACATCTCTGCCTTGCATGCCCTGCAGAAAGACAGTAAATCCCGCAGAGCTTGGCTATTCTCAGGCAGAGACCAATTCCAAACTGACATTTTTGTCACTCATTTTCCCCTATTGTGTTGGGTCCCCCCCCCTTTCCCACATGTGTTTTGCTCCCTCTGGGACTACTAGAGAGGACTCTGGGACTACTAGAGAGGATGGGTTTGGGGGGAAAACCCCTGAAGTAATGGGGACAAACTAGTGACAAAAATGTCAGTGCGGAACAGAGAGTTCCACCAGGTAGGGGCCAGGGCCAAAAAACGCCCTGGCCCTAGTTGAGGACAGCTGGATCTCTCTCAGGCTGGGGACCACCAGGAGGTTCTTATTCCCAAAGTGTAATACTTTTCTTGGGGCATACTGAGAGAGGCGGTCCCAAAGGTATGTGGGTCCTTGACCACTAAGGGAAGGTCAGAACCAAGACATTGAACTGGATCCGATGCTCCACTGGAAGCCAGTGCAGCTTGCACAGCACAGGTTGAATTGTGTCATCTGTGGGGTCCTTGTAAGGACCAGCACGGCCTCATTCTGGATCAGTTGGAGCTTCCAGGTCAGGTGCAAGGGAAGGCCCGTGTAGAGCAAATCACAGTAGTCTGTCCTGGAGGTGACCATTGCATGAGTTACTGTGGCTAGGTTGGAGTGAGACAGGTAGAGAGCCAGCTGCCTACCGTGGCACAGTTGGGGAATGCCAGCTTGGCAACCTTCATGATTTGGACCTCCATAGACAGGGTGGCATCCAAGGTCACACCCAAACTCTTGACCATTGGTGCCGGTGATAAGGGCACTCCATCAAGAGTTGGGAGTTGGCAACCCAACCATGGCTCCCACCCACCCAGCCACAGAACCTCCATCTTACCTGGATTCAGTTTCAGCCGACTCTGTTTTAAACATCCAACCACGGCCTCCAATCCCGTGGCTAAATTCATAGGAATGGTATCTGGATGGCTGCCCATCAACAGAAATGGCTGAGTGTCATCTGCATACTGATGACATCCCAGCCTGAAACTCTGGGCTAGCTGGGTGAGGGGGTGCATGTAGATGTTAAATAACATTGGGGAGAGAAGTGCTCCTTGGGGGACCCCGTATTCCAGCGGATACGTTGGAGACACTGTCCCTCCCAGCGCCACCCTCTGTCCCCGACCGTAGAGAAATGAGGTGAACCATTGCAAGGCTACCACACTAATTCCAATGTCGGCGAGGCAGTGAGTGGTGAGTCAGTGAGTCGTAACTGATTGTGTCAGACACTGCTGTAAAATCAGGCAATATCAGTAGTGCTGACTCGCCTCGATCCAGTTGCCTGTGGAGATCATTCATGAGGGCGACCAGCACCGTCTCTGTCCTGTGGCCAGGGCGGGATTGAAATGGATCCAACACCGTATTCTGTCTTTAATTACCAATGGGCTAAGTTAGTCATGACTAAATAAAGTCTCATTGCTTTGAATAGTATTTAGTCATGACTACTGTGGGTGTAGCAGGGCCTCAGTAGGCAATAAAAATAAGGCACAATACATGTGTGAGTGTGTTTGTTACTCAACCGCAAAAGGCCTAGGACCATCCCAACAATTATTTGCTACTCATTCATCACTGTTCTAATAACTTTGCAAGGTGAAGGATTTCTTACCGTAGCAAAAAGCTGGCCACATTTCTCAGAACAGTTTAGGGGCATTTCAGTTCACAAATGTAACACTCAAAAAGTTGACATTTGATATTCGGCACTATTTCTTTCTTCCTCTTTCTGATATACTGGTCTATATTACAATTCAATTCTTCTTGAGTGAGAAAGCACTGGGGACTTATTATTTAGGAACAGAAAGATAAAATCTGCCTTTTTAAGACCTACAGATCTGGAAACTACCCCACAAACCCAGCTAGCGTAACCTGCTGCAAAGCAAGAACATCCCCACACAGATCAAAATACAAAATCCAGATCACGACACTTGACCACACAGGCATGTGCCTCACTTGATATCTGACATGCATTCAGGAACTGACAAGCATGGGTTTAAAACAACCACAGGGATTTTCATATTACCTCCAGTCTCTTGAAATGCAACAAGCCTGATGCATGTCTTATGTATGCTTAGGTAATGCACACAGAAAGCAGGACTGCACCTCTGTCTCCTGCTTTGTTTGCATTTGCAACAGCAGTAGTGTATAGTCTAAGTGCATATAGGCTGTACATGCATAGCCTCTGGCCCTGAAAGCTGGGCCTTGATTAACACAAACTAATGGGGAAAGCGGCATGCAAGTAACGGTCATTTGCACGGAGGATCTGGGATCACATTAGGTTAAATAAATGAATGGGGGGGGGGGGCGGCAGCCCGG